GCGCCAGGCCTTCCTGTCCTTCACTGCCTCCCTGAGTTTGCTCAGTTTCATGCTCATACTACTGGGAATACTCCCATACTACTGGGGATATTAATAAATTGAAACACATTTATGCTATAAGCAAAACATCATTAATTATTGCCCACAATTTGGGGAAAAATGGTTTATTTAAGTGGTAAAAGAAATCAATACCTTAGTTTCCACATCCCATAATCAGCTCCATGCTTCTTATCAAGAGACTTGTAAAGCATCCCATGTGTATCTACACCAGTGTTTTTCAACCTTGGCAACTTTCAAATGGGTGAACTTCAACTCCCAGAATCCTCAGCCAATCATAAATCTACTTTAAATACCATGGGACTTACTCTGAGAGAGTTATGTAATTACAGCCTTAAATATCAAACTAGGTTCTTGAATAAGCAAACAGGTTGGTAATATTTGTCTATGTAAAAGAATGCCAACTCCCATCTGGGAAATATGTATTTTTACTAATACTTTGGTGCTCATAGAGCTAGAAGGAACCTTTCATTCTATCCAACCTCCTGCTTGGAAATCCAAATTAAAATATACCCAACAGATGGTTACCCAGTCATTCTCTAGAGTAGCACTCTTCAGAGTTAGATTCCATGAATCAAAATTGGATTACAATATTCTCATTCTTTATTTACTATATGTTCTTTCCTGATACAGGGCTGGTTCAATGATACCTCTTAGCAATAGCTATGAACACAGAAAAATTGAAAAAAATTCAGAAGGGACTGTCTGCTTCAACCTGATTCTAGGGAATGGAAGACAGTTGTTTTTGTATAACAGACAGCCTCTAGTAAAGTTTAAAATAGTATGCACAGAACTATAATTCAGTCATTTGTGTTATATGGATCAGATTAAAGGACAACCTGGAAGATTGGGTTGGAGTTGGGTGGTGTCTACATCGAATAAATAAAATTAAGATACAGCTGAATTAGTAATAATACAAGATCAAAGTGCTCCAAACATGTGAACATCATTCACTAAGAATCAACCACAGTGTTTGTGATGATTTGGGAAATCAGAAAGAAATCATGTTACTAATAAGTACTGAATATGATAATAGATTAATAGGTACCAAGAATTATGACATAAGAGGGCAAATCATGACCCTCAGGGAACAATTTAGAAGGGAGTCAATATAGGTTGAAAACAACAAAACCTTGTGAACTTTTAAAAACTAAATATTTATAGTGGCACATGCTTGCATGGATGAACAGATTTGGAGTGTATGACCTATCATATAGATAAACGTGAGAATTTCAATTGCTCTAGGAGGGGAACAGCAACAGCACGTGAAGGTACCCCTTTTCCTCCAGTTCTTTCCCATTACAGGTAACTTGCATAGCCCTTGACTCCAACTTTCTTCAGAAGCCACAAAAGGAGCTTTTACAGAATAGTCAAATACTGTATGTATATAGTTTTCTAAAGCCATCTGTCAAAAACAATGCTGTTCAGTAAGCCCCTTTCCTTATACAGTGCACTAAATTTAATGCAAACTATATTTTCCAAAGATTGAAAATATCTACTACGTAACAGGCATTTATGTAATTTATACTGTCTCATTTAGCTTCTGATTGATAACACCAGTCCCTTCTATGACTGCAGTTTACACTATTACAGTTAGTACAGAAGTGCTTTGGTTCTCTATTTAAGATCTCATTTCTATACAACCTCAAGTGGGAAAGCTTATTTCCATGTGATTTTATACCCTTACAAACTCCCTCTTGCCATTTTGTTTTCACCACAATGAATTTCATCTCCATGTGCCACAAAGAATATTTTTTATGAGATTTACATCTGGCTGTCAAGAACTAGAAACGCTTGACCATAACTAGGTGAAATAAAAAAATTAGTAAAAACCATGGCATAATCAGATTCCTGTAGATGAATTCAAGCACAGCTCCACTGCTTTTATTTATTATTCATCAGCAGATCCTCTTTAAAAGCAAACAAAGCAAGTTACACTGTCACTCCTTTAAAAGCATAATCTCATTATCAGGGAACAGGTGACAATTTATAGAAAGAATGAAGAATGTGTGATTAATGCAAATGACACAGTAAATAAAAGAGACCAAATAAGGCAGTCAGTCTGTCAGTCAGTGGTAGAAAGCTGTCAATTTTCTAACTGAAAAATTACATATCAGAGGTGATATTAATGAGCCAATAATCTCAAGGGATCATTTTTACAATTTCTGTCTAATGTCAATACCCTTATTAGAACCTTTATTTTTTATTTTAAAATATTGTTACTATTACTGTTGCTCTAGATATTACAAGTATCTGAATTTAGCCCTTATGCGGATCTGAGACAGAGGCACATGACTCACCAAGAGGTAAGATTTACATTCAGTTCCCCGTATCCAAGAATACCCTTTCCAACCTCACATGCTCTAGTTTTTGGCATTCCACTTCCCAGAATTCCCAGCTAGTCAAAACATGCCTAGAGGGCACCAAATTGGAGAAAGATGTTTAAATTCTACCTGCTAGTACACAAAGAATGGTATGCTGATTGTCAACTTTTACCGTCCCTTCAATCATACCTGGAAGCTCTTCATAAATGTCTTCATCTATCGGTTCTATTCCTGACTGAGAAAGAGGTATGGAATTTTCTTCAATGTCATCATATTCCTCCTCTGGAATAGTCTGAGATCCTATGTCTGTTAAGAATGCAAAATATAAAACAGCTATTCAGTCAGCCTAGCCATGGAAATTTACAAGGAGCTCTCTAGGGCAAAATATATGCTCAAGTCCCTTCAATTTTCACATCAAGGTAATGCAATGCATCCATTCTAATTGTACTTTTTAAACAATCCAGATACAATCACTGCTAGCACTTCAATTAGGAATGCCCACTTTATTTAAGCTTCTCTGGAAGTTAAGTCAACTAGGAGCAATGGGACTGACTCCTAAGTGTACAGAGGATTCCTTAATCTCTCATAAATATACCCAGATGAAAAAGATAATGCATCATTAAAGACAACACAGTGACCACAGGATCAACAAAGAGAAAACAAGGAAGCTTTGATTTCCAGCATGCAATATAGGCAAAGTGTCTTGTTAGCAACTGGCATACCTTGCAATATAAATTTGAGTCTCTCTACCCATTCTGCAGCTTCTTTGGGAGTAGCGGCTGTAAACTGTTCAGAAACTTGGTTTTAGAGAAGAGTAATCATGAGCATCAAAATATAGCTAGCACTATATTAATAAAACCAAGAAAGTAGCATTCTGGTCACTTCTTCAAGGCACCATTAGTAATTCTTTACATGTCTTCTGGTACTTTTCTTGCAAGGATGCTTCTTATAATGTACAGTTAATTTTGACAAATTTACGTAATTGAAGCAGAGGATGATGGATTTAGAACTCTGATCAGCAGCTGGCAGCTGTGCAGAAAAAAAGCTGCTTCTCTTCATCAATGTCAAAACCAGGACTGATGAACAAAATTTGCCCTTGACAATTAGAAGACACCCATGAATTTCTTTAGACTGCTGGGTACAGTTTTCTTTAAAATGTTCTTGTCACATTCCAACACAGTACCTGACAACTTAATTAACTGGCTTTCAACTGCAATCTCAGATATTTAAAACTTATTAAACTTACATTTCACATTGATGCCTAGCTGATAGATCTCACATTGCATACTTTTAACTTTGATTTCCCTCTCAGGCCTCTAAGCAATGCAATACATATTTAACATTTGAGTTTTGTGTGTGTGTGTGTGTGTGTGTGTGTGTGTGTATCCAATTATTTTACAACATTATTCATCCAAGAAATCAGGCAAACCTATTAGATAATAGATATTTAAATGTAAGCTGTAAAATGAGCCAGCAGATAAGTATGACATATGAGCTGTTCTTATCCAAAAATATAGTATTAGAACAATCTTTTTGCAAAATCTATTATATGAATGTACAAGGTAGAAAAATAAAGGATTCCACCCCAACCCCCACCCCGCCTTTTCCAACATGTCAGGGGTTGTTTTACCAAAATGTTAATGTCTCCATAACTGGAACAGTAACAGTTTTATCAATTTAATTTCAAGACAACATAAAAACTCCAACCTGATAAATGCGTTTATCAGGAGCAGCGATTTCAAAACAGCAATCTTTCTTTCCATCCTTCCGAAGGGTATTATTCATTCTGACGGTGTAGCCATCTATAGCAAATTCACCTTTCTGTTGTTTGTCTGTTGTAGATGAAAAGTAAAGATAGAACTTCATTTGCAACATTGAAAGTGAATGTCTCACCAGGTTATCATTTATTCAGATTTTGTTTTTCTGTTTCATGAATATTCGAGAGACTGAGTTAAACATTATTAGCTGAATGGATTTAGTGATTGTTGAGAGATAAAACTCTCTTTTAAAGAGAAACTACAAAGAACATTTTTGTGAAGGCTGCTTACAGAATCCCACAGGATGATCCTTACAGATGGTCTTATTTAGCGTGAAGTGCACACACTGACTGGGGGGGGGCGGAGGGAATCAAGAACTGGAACCTGGAACTTGCAATACAAGTGTTTCATAAATCAGTGTCTCTTCCTGGTTCAGTAATCACTGGTCCAGCAAAGAATTTGCTGATCTCCCTGTTGTATCTACCCCAGTATCAGGGCTCAAAAAGTGAACTTCAAAGACTGTCAACGGTGCTTGTAAATGTGTTTTTCACCTAGTGACCAAAGCAACTGAATCTGGAAAAGGTATAGCTATGAGTTTACTATGACTTTTGTTCAAATGAAATGGCAATAAGCAGCATGTAAAAACTCCTTTTTTTTAACAGTAATTTTATTAAAAATTACAATTGCGAAGATTAAAAACTAATACAAACTGAAAAAAAAGAATAGAAAGAAAAAATAGAAAATGCAGAAAAGAAAAAATAGAAAA